GCGGGTGCGGGGGAAAGGGGGGGGGGTTGTGGGGGGGGGGGGGGGGGGGGGGTGATCTATTCAAACCTGATAGCAGAACCACAGAACGACGAGCGAGAAAAAAAAGCCGGTGCAGAAGAACACAGCAGGAGCTCCCAGCTGAATGAAATCATCCCCACATTGTTGACTGACACTCACCTGAAAGAGAGAAAGAGAGGGAGAGGAGAGGAGGAGAAAATATTAAATTATGGATTTCAGCTGCAGTATTGACAAGACAAGAATCACAAAGCAAGAATCATGGGAAGGTAATTACTGGGAATGCTTGAGAGGTTTGCGCCAAACAGGCTCAGATGAGCCGCTTCACGTGTGACAAAAGGCAGGCTTCCTTTGTTCGGCGTGCCGACCGGCCCGACTCGCATCGAACAGAGAGAAGGGAACATTCTGACAGGTGAGGGTGTAATTAAAGATATGAAACCGCATTAGTATTCAAGGTTAGCTCTTTTAAAAAGGTGCCTCTGGGTTGGGAAAATGTATGAAAACTTGCTTTAAAGTGGAAGGGATTTTCAGTGTGCAGGCGTTACTTGTTTACTGATCATATAACAGCTCACTGCCGGTGTCTACTCACAGTGTCATTAAATTTACCCAGCAAAAATACTCTCACAATGCAGTCAATTGGAATGATGGCCACAGTTAAAAAATATACAAAGAAAAATGTCCTTGAAACTACCACACTACATCTGATAGTCTGATAGGCTCGGTTCTATTGGGAGCAAAACCACATCTTGTTCCATCTCCATCTGCTGTGGTTATATTTCTCTCTGCTCTGAGTCAAACCCAACAAACGCTTTGAGCAACCTGTTCCCCTCCTCGCCTGTAGGGGCGCTGCGACAAGAACCACTAAAGGAAACGACATGAAAACCTCTGAAGAAGACGCTGTCTTCTTACATTGAGTGTGTAAATATATATCAGGCTTTAGTTACTTTATACTGTAAACAAGAATTGGCGTCAACCACGTTAATCAGGACAAAATACATCGTTTTATTGGCTGTTTTGTCCCCATTCTTCAAAATATCTTAATTTAATAACACTCGAGTCTTTTTTTAAAGCGTGCTATTCTAGCTATTAAATGGATTAGTGCATACAAATATAGCTTTTCATTTTAAACTAGTAGGATATTCAGATGAAGGAAGTGATATTCTTGTGGTTTATAAATTATTCCAGTGCTAAGCTAACCATAACTCCCAAGTTTCCACTTCAGTCCCATCACTCAAAGAATGTTATCCAATGATGATATATAGCATCAACACAACCCGCTATAGTTTTCGGTTTGTAAACATGACGGTAGTTTTAGACGCACAGCACCGACAGATAACTATCTATCCGTGCTACTGTAGGAAGCACAGACAGTCAGAACACCGGTTTTCTAACTGCCTTCACCACTATTCTTGTTTTACAGATTTTGTACAATGTGTTGATTGTAGGTGTTTTTTGAACACTGCTGAAGAAGCAGAGTCTAAAAACTGGTAAGTGGAGGAAAAAACAAATATGTAGAATACTAACATATTCTATGTATCCTTAATGAAGTAGCCACTTCCGCGATTAAAACACACGTTTCTGACTCCACGTTAGCAGCCTACAGTTGGTTGTTCTGTAACAGTCCCGTCTTTCTGCAGCACATAGAGAAGATTTATCCCGTTTTTGACCAACCTGACTGTGCAAAACAGATTCTGACAGACTAACAGGTATGCATTTCCTTGTGTGCTGCATCAGCACCAAAACATGCAGAGATGTGCAGCAGGAGCATCCATCAGTTACAAACCCAAAATCAACAAACTGTGGCAGTGATTTATAAACTCTGTTCGCTTTTCTGTCGGTGGCTTTCTCAAATAGAGAAACAAGCAATGAAAAAGGGACTATATATTTAATGTTTCAAAATAAAAGTCCTGAAGAGCGCGGCGCACCAGAGGGCTCCACATTTTAGACTCCTACAGCGACTGTTAAAGGTGCATTAACAGCATAATGGAGCGTAATGAGTGACTTAACAGGACTAATGGAAGCAGGCTTTGTACGTTATATTATTACAGATTATATTATTACAGATAATGGCCTGAGTCAAATAAAGTGCTGTTACCTTCATAAGAAGGTCACTACTTAAGAAAATTATGTTATTACATAATACTCCATCTACCTATTAACTGGAGATTTCTTTTTTTTTTATTTGTGTTTTCTTAGATTTTTGTTCACTGCTTCTGTCAAGATGAGAGTTTATTTTAAACCATACTTTTTTTGTGCAGAATTGCTTTGAGGGTTTATTCTTTGTCTTTTTACTCCAAGCGTTCACCTTAAGCATCTAAAAGAAAACGCGGCGCTGAGTGTGATGGATTACCTCCATCAGACAAGCTGCTCATCTTTGAAAGAAGATATTTATGACATGCTTAAATCATGTAGGACAAGCACATTCATCACACTAAGACTCAACACTGCTTTACTTGTTGAAACATTCAGGTCTTTATGAGGCGAGGCCAGAAATTTAGTATCCAATCCGTGAGAGCAGAGTGAAGCTTGCTGCTGTAGCTGCTCCAGGTGTTTGACTGATGTTAAGATAAAGTAGGATTTATCAATCAAGCAGACCTTTTTTCATACAGAAACACAAAGCGCTCTACAGAGATAAAATCATACTAGAAATGATCAAACTAACAATTTCAGAGGACAAGGAACCGAGAAAAACCCATTCTGCAGCGAGAAAACAGAAAAACAAAAATCAAATATATTTGATCAATATTATTGTGGTAAAAGTTTAGTATTTTTTTATTGTTAAGTGCCTTGAGATGGCATTTGTTTACTAACAATCAAATAGATAACATGATGCTTGTTAAAACTGTCAATATGGGAATAATATTAGAAGTAAAACCAGTTTGAGCATAAAACAATGAAAAGGATTATGAAAACTAGATTAGAATATTTACCAAAATTCTGTTCAATTAAAAAAAATCCTTTATTTATAGCAAAGGGAAAATAAATGTGACTCATATCATCCAAGTATCTGTTGTGGTTGGCGATGCTGTAGGCTGGACGGATGTCCGGTAGCAGTCTGTCTTCCAACACATGTGAAGAGGCCTCTGCCTGAAGATTGATGCTCAGAGACAAAATTCCAGAGTTCTGATTAACACTATCAGCTGTTGGCAAGCACTGATAATCCACCTCATTTGCTTTTGCCGTTTCTCTTTCAATTGATCTGTTTAGGTACTGTTTGAGCTTTTGAGATGCTAATCAGCTGTAAAGAAAAAACCCACCTTGTTTCCATGGTGACAAATTAAATCTGTCCAAAAGTAAGAGTAAGAGTAAAAATCTGTATTCAGAACAGAGGGAATAATTGTCCAGACATGGAATAGTTCAACCAAAACATGATGAACAAAAGCCCAGAAAAAGACAAAACAAGAACGAATGCAGCAGAACTGGACCGTCAGCGGTGCTATCAATGAATAACTACATAAATAATATAATAAACTCTTGCAGACAACTATAAACCTGCACCAAATAGATGCTACTTTAGCTAGCTGTAAAAGATTTTGTTTGTATTCCATAGCGAGTCTTCAGTCTGGTGATATTAAGTAAAGTGGTACAGTGTGAAACATGAGCCTATTGTTGGTCAGAACAGAGCAGACAGCTGAAGAGCATCACACTCAGCAGCACTGTGCTCATTCAGGTGCTTAACTTCCAGCCGACCTTTTACACGTTCAACACTTGAAACCATTAAAGGAAATTGGAGGAGAAAAAAACCCCCCATGTGAGCAGTGTGGAAGAGGTTTTTTTTTTTTTAAACAAAGGAACAAATCTTCACAGAGGACTTAAAAGAACTGGTTCCTCCCTGTGCTTTCATACGTGTCAATTTCCCCACGATGCAACCTGCTGAGATGACAACACGGAGCAGAGACAATGGAGACAGAAGAGCGACAATATCAGGGCTAAAGAGGAGGACGACAGGGCATTTGCAATAACGCTTTCAGTTTGACTGCTGAATGTGTCCTTTTACATCTTTTCATCTTTTTCAGGAAAACAAAAAAAACATAAAAAGGTCGGGAAGAGGGGTCACATAATTTCAGGAGTGCGTCGCCGCCGTAGCGGGCGGGTGGGGGCTCAGTGATTCATTGCAGATGACAGGCGAAAAAAACGCTCAAGACTGGTTACAGCTGGGAACAGGTGTGTGTCAAGCTTCAAGCTGGCTCCATTTATTTTCTCATCCGACACGCTACGCTAATGGTGAACCACACTCCATGAGACGCCACTCCAGAGCTGCCCACCGTCTAAATCTGTCCACTTGTTCACCACATTGCTCCGTACCTGCACTGAGTCACCATGTTGTTGCTGCTGTATGTATTAGATTCATCCACTGTCCTCCACTCATCCACTTCATCAAGTTAAAGCACATAAGTACAGAGCCAATAACACATGTAAATACCAATATTAATGTTACCATGCCAACATTAGATCTAACACAAAGGTTATAGTGTACAGAACTTTAGTTAGCATGCTAATATTACCATGATAACTTAACCTGAGTCCTTGAAAAGGGAAGCAAAAGTTAATTTGTATTGTCTGAAGAGGTTTCATATTTTCCTAATAAGTGTTTTTATGCTGTTCCTTATTTAGCCAACTGTTCATTTCATTGCTAACATTGCTACAGTTTTAAATGCAAGTATATTAAAGTCTTAAAGAAGTTGTTATGATGGACTTTTGTCATATTTATAGATCTGTTTAAATTAACCTTTTGCACAAAAAAGATTAATTCTTTAGTTTAAATAAGTAACAAAAAAAATAGCACAATTTGGATTTCCATTTGCATCGGCTTGTGTTTGGTGTGGTAACTGTTGCTATGCAACAGGATTTAAGCCGAGGTAAAAGTAGGAATAAATCTTAAGGCTACACTGTCTTTTGCTTGTCTTTCTATTTTCCTCTGCAGTCAACAAAGAACCCAGGGAATGTAGACTGGGCCCTCCTAAGGATGCATGGACACATCCATAGAACACATAACGTCCATTAGTATGCTACTGTTAGCATGTACGATGAACTGGGGATGCTAACAGAAGCATTAGCATGCTAAGTATATAAATGGAATATCACTTCACTTGCTAAGTAAGTGCTTTCCGTTTAATACTTGACCATTTATCA